CATTGAGGACAGATCATTTACACTCGGACCTGCCCCACGAGCGGCCACATCATTCTCATATCGTCCCAAGTGGCGGGGACTATTCCGTTTAAACTCGATATATACGGATTGGGGCTACGGGCGACCTCAAAAACGATCATAAAGAGTCTGACCAAATAAGCGGACAAGATTATACCAACAATCGCCCAATGAAACAATTGGTCAAAAATGAATCATTGAGAACAGATCATTTACACTCGGACCTGCCCCACGAGCAACCACATCATTCTCATATCATCCCAAGTGGCGGGGACTATTCCGTTTAAACGGACAACAAAAGTGAAGGTGAAGGTGGAAGTAAGGTGAAAAGTGGAGGTGGAAGATAAAAGTAAAGTGGAAGATGGAAATGTAAAGTGGAAGGTGGAGATGGAAGGTAAAAGTAAAGTGGAAGGTGGAGATGGAAGGTAAAAGTAAAGTGGAAGGTGGAGATGGAAGGTGAAAGTAAAGTGAAAGGTGGAAGTAAAGTAGAAAGTGGAGGTGGAAGATGGAAGTAAAGTGTAAGTCGAAGTACGATAAAATAGGAATGAAGGTAGAAAGATAAGACAAAAAAAGTAAAGCAATTGTAAAAAAAAATAGACAACCCACTTTCACACCCACTCCTTATATATATATTGTAAGGATCTTCTGTGTTATGATTAAACTTCCATGTTATGATTAAATGACGCGTTTTCTGTGTTATCTGTGCCATGTTATTCCTTTTCGAGAATTGTTTATACCAAGCAGTTTTCCTAATATGGGTTTAACCTCTGATATAAGCCACAAGCCACAAATTAATCCTAATTTGGATGGCATAAACAAAAGGGGTACATCTATATACACACCGTCAAATTTGGTGATGCGTATCTTGGTGATTAGTCCGAAACACAAACCAGTAAATTTTTAATCAGCCCAAAAAAACAAATCTGAAGCGTGAACGAAAATATGAAAAATGGATGCTTAAATCTATCTTGGAGCACTATTAAAAAATGTTGGAAAGGCAATTTTACATGTAAATTTTGTTCTTCACTCTAACCTAACCCTAACCCTAATCTTAGAATCAACCTTTAATTGTAATACCCATGAGATCACGTGGATACAACGTTTAACATCTTCAAATTTGGATGATTTGGGAAAACTGGTGACTTATTACGGAATTTGGGGTAGATTGTGATTGGTAATGCTGAGATCTTATCCATCGTTATTTTCAAATTTATAATTCTCACGCTCTGTTTATACAGAGGTTTTTCTTGTATTTGATGCCCGCTTTTCTGATTAATTCAACTTAGGGTTCAAGAGCAGTTATCTCTTTGTTATGGTCTAGCCACTGGGTGGTATTCTTCCAATCTTTGGGCTGTTTGTGATGAGGATTCGATTCCTTCCTAGGTCGTGCGATCTTTGGTCTGTCATTTGTCAATCTGAAAGAGTTGTCATTTGTGAAATTTTCAGTGCAATTGTTCGGGGCGATTGCATCATGCTTTTAAGAGCTAATAGATTCAATCCTATAAATTATCTTGCTTCGGGTTATCTGTGATTTA